ATGAAATTTCAGATTTTACAGTCTGTTCAGAAAGTGGAAAATAAAGGAGATATGAAAAGATCAATATAGCTGCCCATGCCCACTGATGGGCTGGGCTTTGAGAACCTCACTTGTTCACATGGGCAAGGAAGTTAAATTTAAAGGGGTTTTGATAGATCTGTGTTGTACCAAAAAGTGAAATGTTTCTGTTTCTGTTGTAGCAGGCTCTTCTAATGGTATCTTTCCTCCTCAGAACTGGAGAAGAAAAAGTCTATGAGCCTATGAACCCCAAACAAGCACAAATGTCCTTTTTTCTTTGAGCTTTTAGAAACTTCTGGCCTGATATTTTCTCAAGCAATAGCTTCCATCAAGCTGTGAGTTCTCACTGGAAGCAGGTGATTGCAGCCGGTTGGGGTTGTGGCGGCTGCTGCCCCCATTTGCTTGAGCTGCTGATCCACTACAGAGAATATGCCAGAACAGCCTCTACAGAGAGTTGCAGTGGAGGAGATCCAGGGTGAAGACAGGACCCCAAGGTTGAGATGGCAAACACTGACTAGCATTGTCACACAGGACCCACCGGTGAAATCTGATCTCAACTCCCTCCCCACCTTCCCCCATTTTCTCCAACTGATCCAACAGAGTTGATCTTGGCAGATTCTTGCCACAAAGCTCTTTTGCTTAATCTTTCTTCCAGGGTCTCAGAAACAGGGAGCAAGAAGGGGGCTCAGGAAAATAACTTTTTACAGTTTTTCTATGTGTCATTTCCTTTATTGGATTTAAATAAAGCCTGTGTCTGCTTTAAAAAAAATCAATCATCTGAATCTTATGAAAGAGGTTAGTCATTTGAAAGCAGATTTCCTAAAGGCAGGGAGGAAAGGGGAGGACAGACCAGTTGGAGATTTCCATTATTTTAATATTTCAGAGCAAATTTCCATTTTCTTTTTCCATACCCCCAGATCAGTACTGAATCCAGGGATAGCTGCTGCTCCCAAACTCAATTTACTGCTTTATCAGGAGAGGTCTTAAAGTTTGTAGGAAAGCGCCCTCTGGTGAGCTTTGAGAATACTGCGACGTTCTAGAAAGCATATTCATGGCCACCAAAACTGTTGGAGAAAGACGTTTGGTGGTTTGAGAATAGCGCTGCTTTGAGGTAAAATTGTACATTACATTGCCTTGCTGGAGAATTAATTCATAGTTTAAGTGAGTGCTTGCTTTTCTGTAGGTTGCAGAAAGAAAGCAAATGAACCCAATGTGGTCAGCTATTGCTACAACAGGATCCACCAATGTTACACACTACATGACACACTGGGAATAGTTAGGTCTGGTGACAGGGGTTTAAATTGAACCAAAAATCTCTGACATATGGGAACCTCATCTATCCCTACTTCTCTCCACCAGTCTGGAAATCTTTACATCCTCAGGAGTCAGTTTGTTAAGATGAGAGCTTTAGGGACCTGGAGTAGGATTCCAGTTATGAATGAAAAAATAAATTGTAAACTTCTTTTGGGCAAACATTATCTTATTCATTTGTTTACACCCACACACCGAGACACACTGTTCACAATGCCTGACATCTTGTGGGCAACCAGTAAATTGTGGGAGGTGAAGGAGGAAGGGAAGAAGGAAGGAAGGAAGGAAGGAAGGAAGGAAGGAAGGAAGGAAGGAAGGAAGGAAGGAAGGAAGGAAGGAAGGAAGGAAGGAAGGATGGAAAGAAGGAAGAAAAGGGAAAGAATGCACACTTGGAAAGTATTTAACCAGATAAAACAATTTTCCTTTTTTTTTAAGCAATTGGGGTTAAGTGACTTGCCCAGGGTCACACAGCTAGTAAGTATCAAGAGTTTGGTCTGATGTCACATTTGAACTCAGGTCCTCCTGACTTCAGGGCTGGTGCTCTATCCACTGCACCACCTAGCTGCCCCTAAAACAATTTTCCTTTCCAGCATAATCTATAGCTCTACTCTATGCCCCCCAAACAAAGTTATTAGCTATTCCATGATTATGCCCTATCCTTCACCTCCTTCCCATGGTCATACCATTTCCTCTGTTAAAATACTCTCCTCTGAAATGTTTATTGAGTTGCATTGGAATGAATCCTCTGACTCTTTAATTCTAACCCTAACCATCAGAAGCCAACCTTCAAGGCCCAGTTAAAATGCCAGCTTCATGAAGGGAAGGGTAGGGAACAAGCTATATAAAGGTTGAATAAGAAATAATTAACAGAGGGAAAGCACTAGAATTGAGAGGTTGGGGAAGGCTTCCTGTAGAAAGTGGGATCTTAGATGGGACTTAAAGGAAGTCAGGAATGTCAGTTGTCTGAGATGGGGATGGATAGTTTTCCAGGCATGAGGGACAGCTAGAGAGAATGACTAGAAGGCCAGAGCCAGGAGGCCAGAGTGACTAGATCAAAGAGTACCTGTCTGGGAGTAAGATGTAAGAAGACTGGAAAGGTAGGAGGGGGCTGGCTTATGAAGGATTTTGCATACGAAACAGAGCATTTTGTATTTGATCCTGGAGGCAATAGGAAGCCACTGGAGTTTATTGAGTTGGGAGTGGGTGACATGATCAGACTTCTGCTTTAGAAATATTAGAAATTAGAAATATTTAGAAATTTTAGAAATATTACTTTAGTGGTTGAATGGAAGATGGACTGGAATGTAAAGAGACTTAAGTCAGGCAGACCCCCCCCCAGCATAGCACTGCAATAATCCAGGCATGAAATGATGAGGGCCTGCACTAGAGTGGTGTCAGAGGAGAGAAAGGGGCCATGTTCCAGAGATGTTGCAAAATCAACAGGCCTTGGCAACAGTTTGGATATGGGTGATGAGAGATAGTGAAGAGTCCAGGATGATTCCTAGGTTGAAAGCCTGAGGAACTGGGAGGATAGTGTTGCCCTCAATAGTAATAGGGAAGGTAGGAGGTGGAGAGGGTTTGGGGAAAAGATAATGAATTGTTTTGAACATACTGAGTTTAAAATGCCTAGTAGACATCCAGTTTGGGATTTCTGAGAGGCAGTTAGAGATATGATTGGAGATCAGCAGAGAGTTTGAGGAAGGATGTGCAGATCTGAGAAACATGAGCGTAATATAAATTTAAATATAATTAAATGCTTGGGAGCTGATGAGATCACCAAGTGAAGCAGTATAGAGGAAGAAGAGAAGACCCAGGACAGAACCCTGAGGGACACCTACAGCTAGAGAGTAAGATTTGGAAGAGGAACCATCAAAGGAGGTAGGAGAAAGAGTTTATCTTCAGTATAATATGAGTTGTACAAACAGGGATTCGATATTTGAAATAAAGCTACGATGTGCCTTTTAGGAGTCTCTATGCTTCACCTATCTGAGGAGATCTGTGGGGGAGCGGAAGGGTCTGCACATACACTGTGAAGAAAAGGGCCACAGTGAGGGAAAAAAGACCTGAGTAATAATTCTGCCCATTTGAATTCATGTAGAATTCAACTCAATAAATTGTTTAATAATTACTGTGTAGAAACCCCTGGAAAACTCAAAAGGGAGACTTGTTCCTCCTTGAAGTCACCAAAGTACCTACAAACATACCCACCTCTCCCCTATTCCAAAAAAAATCCTCACTTAATCCTTCCGTCCCTGCTAACTGTAGTGCTATATCTCCTCTGGACTTTGAAGATAAACTCAAAAAGGCTTTCTACAATAGATGCCCAGTAGAAGAATCACCATCATCCTGCTTCTCTCTCATCACCAGGGTAAAGAGATGAGGAGAATCAACATATAAGGCTGGATCATGCAAAAAAGTTGTGCATCTGAGTTCTTCTTCTCGCCCACTACGGACATCATGGCTCCCATCTATCCCTGCAAAAATATGGTTATCGTGCCAGAAGCACAAGATACAAAAGTGGAGTTTCATTCCATCTGCCTTGTATGATGATCAATGTTACAGGCCCCGGTTTCAGAACGGGCAAATTCAACATGTAAAAAGAAGTGTAATGTTAGAAAGATTACCTCAGTACAAGCGTGACTACGGTCAGGAGGCAGTGTACCTTCTCTGGTTACTGCTGGTCAGTCACTTCAGTCACGTTCAACTCTTCAAAACCTCTTTTTGGGGGTTTCTCAGCAAAGATAATCGAGTGCTTTACCATTTCCTTCTCCAGTTCCTATTTATAGACGAGGAACTTTGGCAAACAGGGTTAAGGGTCCTGGGTCACAGAGCTAGTGAGTGTCTGAGGCCAGAATTGAATTCACGAAAATGGAGTCTTCCTGATTCCAAGCCCACTGCTCTGCCCACTTCTCCACCTAGTTGCCTCAATATCTTCCCAATACCAATCAAATATGAGAGTCACATTGCTCAAGCCATTGCTGACTGCAGGAAGGTGACTTTTCATTATGCTGTCATACCATCACACAATTTAATTCAAGAAACATTTATGAAATGCTACCACTCATGTGGCCCTTATAATTATCTTTTCTCTATTAGCTTAGTTTAGACTACTAGCTTAAGGGCAAAAACCTTATCTTATGTCTCCCTTATTATCTAATACAGTCTTTTACAGTAATAGTCATTTATTAAATATTTGTTAAATGAATGATAAAAATCCAATTTGGCTAAATTCAATAAAATGACAAACCCCAAACTCTTTATGAAAATAGTGTTTCATTAAATGTTTTCCTTTAGCTGTGTGACCCTGGGCAAGTCACTTAACCCCAATTGCCTAAAAAAAAAAAGTTTTCCTTTTCCTTTCTTTCATTGTTTGGGCATCATGCAGAGAGGGAGAAGAGATTCAATCAGGACCATAATGAAACCAAGACACCATACTGCTTACATCTAGAATTAACTTTATCATAAATCAAAGGGAAGATACATTTAAAACTTGTGGCCATATATTAGAGACTATTATATATAACCATATATTAGCAAATACAACTTTTATAAAAACACATGAATAGTCTAAATCTGATTCTCAATCAAAGTATTAGGTTACCCTGCAGTATAATTACCCTGGCACATCATGAATATTACAAGAAATTTTGCAAAAAATAAGAGTAAGAGTGTTTTGTTTTTTGTTTTTATTATTGTTTTAAGAAAATAAATTTCCAAATAAGTAAAGGAAGAGATATGAAAAGTGCATTAAAAATACAGAATAAGAAGGTATGAGTATCAAGTTCACTTTCAAAACCAGCTGGGGGACCATGAAACTAAAAGTCTGAGAATCACTGGTCTGAGATTTACATTTCCCAAGTTCATAATAATATTTCATTTCTGAAGTTTTACCACAAGGTGGCACAAACTAGCTAGGCTAGTTTGTGTACAGTTTTCTCAAAACAAAAACCTTGGTCAGGAAACAGCTCTGGGGATATATTTCTCATCTGGATATTTGCACAGCTGTTAAGATAACACGATCTATTTGGTCTCAAGACACCCTATAATCAATCCCACAATATCCTCTTTAGAAATATGAATGCAAAAAGGAGAGATTATTTCAAATACAAAACTCAATCCAAATGTGGCACAAGAGAAAGGGGTTGGGTTATTGAAACTACATGTTTTTCATAAAGTGATGAAAATATAAGTGTAAATGCTTTTAACTCAATACATACATAAAACAGGCAAGTATTTACCTTACGACACCTTATTCTGCCTCAGCAGCATCTGACCATGAACTCAAAGGCATCAGATTGTTTGAGAGGAATATTCCAAGTAAAGGAATGCTACAGAAACAGAAACAGTCTAAATCTGCTTTTTCCATGGTATCCCTGACCTTGTAACCTGGGTGATTTAAATGACTGTGTTTCATTTAAATGTTCCATTCTCCTTTGCATCTCCAACACTTAGCACAGTGTCTGATACATATTAGGTGCTTAATAAATGTTAATTGATTGTTGATTAAATGAAGTAGAAAAATTGGTGGCCATTTTCCACATAATTCAAGCCCCAAGCCAGTAAAGAATGACCAATTAGTCACTCCACAGCAGGGATACAGTCTAAATAAAGGATTGCCAACAAGATATAAGGCCACAAGAAGTAAGATACTATTAGTCAGGTGAGTATTGGTTAATAGTGGTTTGCCCAGTCCCTAAGACTTACAGGGAATTCTACAAGGCCAGTCAGCTAGTCTACTCAGTCAAACACAACGTGGCAGTAAGAAAGAAGAACCTCTGCTTGAATTGTCCAGTCATTTTAAAGAAGCAGGGTCTGTTAAGCCCTAGTCCTCTCTTCCATATTGCAATGAAGGTGTATAAAACTAGACCCAGGTGCTGGAGGCTTTTCAACAAGACTAAAAAGCTAGAATAAAGGATATAACCTTTTTTATACATGTATATTTGGACCAACACTAAAAACCATTAACACACACACACACACACACACACACACACACACACTTTATTTTCATGTAAAATATATACTGGTTTTCAGTGTTGCACTTTTAATATGTATAAGTACATGATAATGGGCTTATAAATACATATATGTTAATGGATTTAATGCTATTTTGTATATACATATGTTGATGGTATTAGATATGGCCGGAGTTTTGATGTTGGGTATTTTTTCAAAGCAATTCACGAAAAGGAAATATGCTCTAACACAATATATTCTGGAAAAACAGCCTTCAGAATGGAGAGGATTCTATTTTGAGTAAAAACAACATAGAGATAGAGACTGGCCCTGTGATTTGGTTGTTAGAGGAAACTCCCTTCACCAGTGCAGGTTAACTCCTTCTCTGAAACATATGGTCTGAGAGAGCTACCCAGAGCACTGAAAGTTGAAGCAATTTGTCACATATACTGTATATTTCCAAAGTGAGACTCGAACCCAGGCATCTTCAGCGTTGAGGCTGGTTTTCTGTCCATTACCACAAAGCCTTCAAAGGCTTATAATATACACATTAAAAGACTTCTCAAATGGGGTTGATGACTCAAAAACAAATTTTTTTTAATTCCAAAAGATTTTATGCTTGAAGGTAGGACACATCCTGTGACTAAAAAATAATATTCTTATAAAATGATAGGTTAATTGGTAGGAAACCACTATTTCCCTCAAGAAAATCTCTCTTAAAAAATATTGCATAATGAGACAAAAGTGATTGCCTCTAGCACGGATTAACATGTGGTGCGTAAGAAAGTGTAAAGTGAGCTACAGGAAGAAGGAAAGATTATCTGGCTTTCAGGAAAGTGGGGGACACTAAGCCGGTTCCTAAATTCATTGTGGCTCATGAGTCAACTTCTCATCAGACCACTTGATTTACCAGCCTCAAACCTGTGAGCCTCAAACAGGCTCACAAAACACAGGCTAACATGAGCTGAACTCCTTACCAACAGAGCAGATCTGGCACCACAGCAATAAGAACAAAAGCTATTGTCTTAATTTCTAAAGAATCTTCCATTTTGCCCGAAGCAGTTTAAGAACAAGACCCACTTTCAACCTGATCATTTTCAGAATCTTCTATGATGAAAAAAATCATTTTTAAAGAGCCCCCAAAAAAAGTCAACAGAATTGTTTGTCTATAACAGGTATCTATTCGGTGATTGTTTAATAAGAAAGTAAGTCTGTGTCTTCCCCTCGAGGCAAAAGCATTAATTTACATAACGATGTGGCTTGTAGACTGCAGCACTGGGTAAAGGCAAGTGAAGAAAGTTGACACTCTATGGGCTATAATGAGGTATAAGAAGGACCAGTTAAAGTAACCCCAACTCATCTCAGCTAAACAGCTTTATCTTGATCAAGGGTGGGAGTTAAATGGCTTCATCACATTCATATCCAATTAATGTAAAGCAAAATCATCTTACTGCCACTTTCTAACCCAACCATGCCTCAGTCAATTCTTACCAATTACCAGTCACTAAATTGATTATACAGACATTCACTCTTCAGGTTTACAAAAAGAAATCACAAGCATATACAAAAATGATATTCTGAAAGAAATGCATTAAACAGATATGGCTCCATGTTAAAAAAAAAAAAAAAAAAAAGAATCACATCACACACAGAGAGACCATAAGGGGCCACAAAAACCGACCCTGGTGAATGCATTTTCGGGAGATGATGAACCCACAGCTCCACCTGGCACACAGGAATTCTCCTGAGCTGTCTCCATTACTTTGTAGCAGGATTCTTCGGAGGGAGGAGTTTATACGTGTTAAAGTAACCCACTACTTGTTGGGGAACTTCTGCCAGAACACACTGAGCAAGGGCTTCCTTTGGAGCCTTGTTTAAAAAAAAGAAAACAAGCAAGTGTCCTCATTAGTGACCATACAGTTAAACACCACATTAGGCACCTTAACTTAGACAAGATACTACACTAAAAAATTCCATGTTCTCCCCTCTGTGGCTCGAGACCCATTTCTTGTCTTGGGATCATCAAGATAAGGAGCAGGATAAGTTAGAGGCCTTGTTGGCTTCTTTTTTAAAAAAGCAAAACACTATGCATTCTTTTTTCATGCCATCATTTGTGACAGGACTGGAAAAACAACAGTCCAGACTTGTTTTCCTTAGAATTGAAAATTAATAGGTAACTGAAAACTGTTACGCACAGACTGTGCAACAAACTTGAAAGAAAACTGATCATTGCGTTTTTTTAACAGTATTATGTTTTTTTCCAATTACATGTAAAAACAATTCTTAACATTTTTTTAAAATTGAGTTCCAAATTTTGTCCCTCACTTCCCTCTCCCTCCCTAAGATGGTAAGCAATTTGATATAGGTATGTATAGATATGATATGTACAATCATGTAAAACATATTTCCATATGAAAACTGATCATTATAAGAAAATAAATTAAACATTTTCCTCAGTTACTTCTAGCAAGCTTAATTCCAATAAGAAAATGCGATTTGCAGCTAGAATATTTGAACTATGAAAGGTATGAAAGGTAAAGAAAAAAATACATGTCTAAAACATACACATAGAAAGAGTGAAAGTCTTCCTCGCCTTATCTTTACACTAGGAAATGTAAACAAATGCCATACAAACCTGGGAAGAAATTGCCAAACCTTCTAGGGCAGGATTCTTAACCTAGGGTCCTAATCTGTTGCAACCTAGCACTCAGGGGTTCCAGAACTTGGATGGGAAGACAATTACATCTTTATTTTCACTTATCTTTGGCTTTCTCTTAAATCCCAAATATTTTATCTTATGCATTTAAAAACATTATTCTATGGAAAAAAAGGCTCCACCAGACTGCCAAAGGGGTCACGATGGGGGAATAAAAGGTTACTAATCCCTGTTCTAGTGATTAGAAAAATGGGCTTCCTGTTGTATTGCTGCAATGGCCCAGAAAAATTTAAGGGATCTACTAGACCACCTCCTTCTTGGTCTTATGGTTGAGACTACAGTCGTTGGAATGTATCAAAGTAGTCTCTGGAAGAAAACTGGCAGAGACTTCAAAAACATGGAGGATGCATGATTCTTACTGCACAAAAGCACTGCAAATGAGTACAGGCATAGAAATTTCAAGAACTGTATGAGAAAAGTGGTATACTCAAGATTGCTGAAGAATGTGACTTGTACCCCACCCCCACCCCCCAGCATGGGCATCTAGTCAATTGGCTGGCTGTGGAACAACACAGAGGTCCTTCAGTCAGGACACTCGGCTCCACAGATTTGGGGGAAGAGGTGGGGGAGGGGGGAAAGAGGAGAAGAATGTAAAATGGCAATACTCACATTCTGGAATTGTCTGAAAGGAACAAACTGAACAATGTCTCTGATAGCAGTCTCGCCAGTTGGGGACCTCAGGGCTCCGCCATCACCATCAAGAAACTCCATCGCACTGAAATCTGCCCCTCCAACACCAACAATGATGATGGACATTGGGAGTTTGGCAGCATTCACTATGGCCTGCCTGGTTTGATCAAGGTCTGTGATCACACCATCAGTGATGATCAGGAGCACAAAATATTGCTGTTAAATAAGACAAGCTTTGTTACCTTCATAATCAAATGGTTTGTCATCAAGGACAAGCTAGGCAGCTTGATGATACTGTAGATAGAGCACTGGATCTGCAATCAAGAAAATCTGACTTCCCAGGAGGACCTGAGTTCAAATCCAGCCTCAGACCAAACACTTGACACTTACCAGCTATGTGACCCTGGGCAAATCACTTAACACCAATTGCCTAAAAAAAACCCCAGAAGGGGAGAGGCCAACTAGTCCAGCCCCTTATTGGGGCAGCTAGGTGGTGCAGTGGATAGAGTGACAGCCTCAGAGTCACAGGGACATGAGTTCAAATGTGATCTCAGACCAGACACTGGACACTAGCTGTGTGATCCTGGGCAAGTCACTTAACCCCAATTGCCTCATAAAAAAAAAAAAAAGAAAATCTGACTTCCAATGCTGCCCTAGATGCTTACTAGCTGTGTGGCCCTAGGCAAGTTACTTAACCTTTGTCTACCTCAGTTTCCTTATCTGAAATGGTGATAACAATAACAGGGAGAAAAAAACAAACAAACCAATAACACCGAGATCCTAGAATTCTTGTGAGGATAAAATTAGATTATCTTTGTAAAGCACTTCCCAACTTTAAAGCACTAAATAAATGCCAGCTATTAATAACAGTAGCAATAATAATAAAATTAATTAAAAATGAATAATAATAATAATAAGCATAGAGAAGAGGTGGTATCCATTTAGCACACAGAACCCAACAGAAACAAAACAAAAAGTTATCACAAATTCCTCTGCTGTTATATATGCTACTAAAGTTACTTCATCTCTTTCCCACTATTTCCCTATTGCTGCAATAACCCTGGAATAAAATCTATTAAGATCCTCAGACAACAGATTGATTTGGTACAGAAAGCAAGAGAAAGGTTATTTAAAGTGGCATGGTTTTTAAAGATCCATGATAACAGCCCATAAAATAGGTTTTTTCCTGAGGGTCCCATACCTTAAGCACTGACAGAATTCCACCTTGCTACCTCACTGCCAGAAAAGGCAAAACAAACTAGTATTTCTATAAAGAAAAAGAAAAAGAAAAAAATCACTTCCTAGTTTTAAGAAGTAAATATACTAACGGTACAGTGTACTCACTCAGGAGGAAGTTGTGAACTTTTGTTATTGTTTAGTTGGTTCAGTTGTGTTCCACACTTCATGACCCCATGTGGGGAGCAGTTTGCCATTCCCTTCTCCAGCTCATTTTGCAGATGAGGAACTAAGGCAAACAGGATTAAGTGACTCACCCAGGGTCACACAGCTATTTAAGTGTTCGAGGTAGGATTTGAACTCAGATCTTCTTGGCTCCAAATCCAACACTCCTACTGCCAAATAGCAGCTGCTTCACTCCACATTGGACTCCATATCAGTTCACATATTTTTCCCATTTTTCTCTATATTTCTCAGAATAGTTGTTTCTCTAGCCTTAATATTTCATTATATTCACATACCAATAATGGATATCCATTTTATTTACAGTTCTTTACTACCAAAAAAAAAAAAAAGATTCTGCCTAATTATCTTTGTACATATGGGTCTTTCTCTCTTTGACATCCTACCTAGTAATGGGATCTCTGGGTCAATTTTTGGCACACTTCCAGACTGCTTTCCAAAATAGATCAATTCACAACTCCACCAACAGTTTATGAGTGTGCCCATCTTCCTGCAGCTCTTGAAACAATGGTTACCTCTGTCTTTTGTCATCTTTGCCATTTTGCTGGGTATTAATTTGAATCAAAACTTCAGTTGTTTTTAACTTATATTTCTAGCTGGTACAATGGATAAAGCAGTGGGCCTGGGGTCAGGAAGACCAGAGTTCAAAACTGGTTTCAGATACTTATTAGTTGTGTGACTCTGAGTAAGTCACTTAATCTGTTTGACTCAGTTTCCTTAGCTGTAAAAAGTTGTCATGAGGATCAAATGAGACAATATTTGTTAAAAGCACTTAGCACAGTGCCCAGCACATAGTGGGGGCTCATAAATGCTTGTTTGCCCCCCATTATTTGTGATTTGGAATTTTAATTTATTTAATTTTTTTAAATTCAATTTATTTAATTTAACAAACTGATTAAGGGCCAGGTACTCGACAAGATTAGTAATTGTTTCCAATCCCTTTAAGAACTACTTGTTGGGCAGCTAGGAGGCACAGTGGATAGAGCACTGGCCCTACAGTCAGGAGGACCTGAGTTCAAATCCCCCCTGGGACACATAACATTTACTAACTGTGTGACCCTGGGCAAGTCACTTAACCCCATTGCCTAGCCAAAAATAAAAAAATAAAAAAGAACTACTTTTCACATTCTTTGATCAATTATCCATAGGAGAATGGCTCTTGGAAGGTCACTGGCTTCTCATAAAGAACAAGAGAACATTATATACAGTAACAGCAATATTGTGTTAAGAACAACTTCGAGCAGTTAAGTCATTTTGACTATTATAAATACCCAAATTAACTACAAGGGACATATGAAGGAAGACACTACCTGCATCCAAAGAAAGAACTGATAAATGGAAGTACATATAGAATGATTTTACGCATAAACACATTTGTGTCTAATGGTAGCTTTCTGGGATGGTGGATGAGAGAAAAAAGAAATTTACATGATAATTTTATTATATACTTAAAAGAATAGCAAACTGTATATAATAAATCTTCAGTTTATTATATTATGTTATAGAAGGGCCTTTTTATTTCATAAATTAAAAACAAAATAAATTAAATTTTTTTAAAAAAAGAAGAATTTCACCAAAATTGCTATGGGCCAGAGATAGCCATGCATTCCCCTCCTGGCCCTGTTTCTGACTTTCTGGGCTTCAAAATCCTGCCTCTGTTGCATTCTCATCCTGGAACTTCCCCCAGCACCTGGGGCCTCCTCACCCCAGAACATTCAACCATCCCTGTGGCCTTCTAACATTGGGATATACCTCCACTAGGCTCTCCCCTTCTCCCATGGGTGAGTTCCCTCCTTCCTTCATAAAGAGATGTTACATCAAAATGGTCATGGGTCAGAGATTGTCCTCACTGAGACAGACCTTCATCCTACTGTGGAGCTTGCTAAAACTCAGGATTCTTTCCTTCCTTCCTTCCTTTTTTTCTTTTTTTTGACAACTCTATCCCCAGTTCCCCTCTTCCTCCCCATTTCCCCACAGTGAGAAAAAAAAAGAAAAACAAAACCTTTGAACCAAACATTCATAGTTAACAAACAAATTCTATCATCATAACTTTAGAACCAGACAGAACCTTACAGGTCATCTAGTTCAACTCCTTTTTTAAAGTTGAGGAAACTGAGGCCCAGAAAAAATTAAATGACATGGTCTGTCCCATGGGTAGTATGTGGCAGAGCTGGGGTTCAAGCTCAGGTGTTCTGACCCCAAATCCAGCATTCTTTCCACTGTTTCCACATCATAAAAGCCATGACCAAGGGGGAAATACGCCCTCTGACCCACAACAGCCCACTTACCGAAGCCGTCTGTTGCTGTGTGGCTGCAGCAGCAAACTTGGCCACGTGATTTATTATTGGAGAAAAGTTAGTTGGCCCATAAAGTCTTATCTGAGGAAGGCAGGTCCGATATGCTTCTATGATGCCTTGTATTCCTAGCGAACAAAAGCAGGGTTAATTGTCATCAAGTACATCAGTAATCTACAAGACTCTCTTCCTCAGCTAGCTTTTCAATTCAGATCCTGTAAACACCTGTTAATGAGAGTAATGAAAGGAATACCACCCTTTTGAAAGAAAGCAGTAATTGCTTTTAGTTTGTCAGCTTACAATTTCATCAAATTACAACCTTCCTTTTGGGGATGAAATAGCCAATGAAACAGGTTTCTATGAAACTTAGATTCAGTGTCAAATTAAAATAAGGAAAGAAATTTCCTTATCTACAACCAAGAGTGTGGGGATCTCTTTACCTTTAGGATACCAAAGTATTGCTCAAGTGTAAAGATATACAACACACACAGACTTTTTTTCTTTTTAGAGAGCACATTATGTTGAAACACATTTTGGAAAACATTCATTGCACTGGACCACTTATAACTGAGAGGCACCATGGTATATTGACTGATGAGCTGTTTTTGACAGTGCAGAGGCCTAGGTTCCAGTCCTACCTCTGATACATACTGGCTATGTGAACCTAGGTAAGGAATTCAACTTCTCAGAGCTCTAGGCAACTCCCTAAGGCTATAATTGCAGAGAAGGTGACAACCTACATTGGTAGAGGGAGTTTTCTCATCCTGGAGTTCCCTAAACCAGCAAAATCACAGGACTGGTCCTTCTAGTCATCACAGTTTTTGTCATGCCTAGTCAAAATAACATGTATATTCAAGAGCTTTAAAAAGTCAAACATGCAGGGGCAGCTGGTATAGAGCTCTGGCCTTGGAGTCAGGAGGACCTGAGTTCAAATCCAGCCTTGGACACTTAACACTGACTAGCTGTGTGACCCTGGGCAAGTCATTTAACCCTGATGGCCTCACCAAAAAGCAAAAAAAAAAAGTCAAACATGCAGGGGCAGCTAGGTGGCTCAGTGGATAAAGCACCAGCACAGAGTCAGGAGGACCTGAGTTCAAATCTGGCATCAGACACATGATACTTACTAGCTGTGTAACCCTAGGCAAGTCACTTAACCCCAATTGCCTCACCCCCCCAAAAAAATTCAATATAAACATAAAATGATATCAACAACAATATGACCCATAATAATATTTCCTGCCAGGATTTGGATAGTTTTCAATATTATAAATATTTTCATTATTTGACCTAAAATCAAAAGAATGATAATGCAATTTTTCTAATTCAGCTTACATAATTTAGTATTAAAAATTTCACAGAAATTATTGCTACTCTGCTTTTTTTTCTCTACAACCAAATGTAAAATTTTCAAAGAAAAAGAAAAGGTTGTTCAAGCGATGAAAAAAATCAGTGTTGCTGAGACTTTCAGCTTAAGATCTTTATGTTAATTATGAAAACTTACCATTACAGAAGGGATTTGCTGAGTTAAAGTTTAGGGGAAATTCATGTGATACCTGTCAACACACAAATGAAAGAATAAGATTTTCTGCATATTTCAGTAAGTGGGGTACTCTAGAAGTAAAAAGACTTCTTACCTGCCACTGGGGAGGTATCTGGGCCCCAAACCCAAAGGCTGGAAACATCTTATCACTAAAAATAAGATTTAACAATATGAAATGTTTTACTCTCTTTAAATATCAGGCAAATTAATCAGCTTTGAACATACAGAAAGAGCCAATGGAAAAAATAAAAACACGTTTACTGTAGAACTAACAGAACTAGAAAGAAATTTACAACACAGAACTCTTTCTAATGCTCACCCATCTATAAAGAGAAACTACTAAAAGGAAATTATTGAGTGGTGTACTATAAGCCATCAGATACCCTGCTAGGTCCTATAGGTACAAAGACAAAAATTAAATAGTCTCTGCCCTGAAATGCAAATCCCATGAGGGCAGAAACTACTTTGTAGCATCATATTTAGAGTTGAAAGGGACCTTAGAGGGAACGGAATCCAACACCCTTACCTTACAAATAAGGAAACCGAGGTCCAGACAGATTAAGTGGATTGTCCAGGGTCACACATCTAAGTAAACATCTAAAGAATCTGAACTCAGCATAAGCAGAGCTTATATCAGATTGCACTCCGTCTTGGGGAGGACGGGGGGAGGGGAGTGGGAGAAGGAGAAAATTTAAAACTCAAAATCTTATGGGAGTGAATGTTGAAAACTAAAAATAAATAAACTAATTATTTTTTAAAAATAGGGGCAGTTAGGTGGTGCAGTGGATTCAGGTTAGAGACAGTTCAAATCCGGCCTCAGACACATAACACTTACTAGCTGTGTGACCCTGGGAAAGTCACTTAACCCCATTGTCTAGCCAGAAAAACAAAAAAACAAACAAAAAAAAATCTGAATTTAGATCTTCCTGATTCCAAGTCCAGAGCTCTATCCACTCTACCCCATTTCTTCCAATTTTTCACTTTTTGTCTCTAATGCCTAGCACAGGACCTGGCACACAGCAGGCACTGAATATACTTTTCAAGTGAATGAACCAAACAAAAGCAGGTGATTTTTTTCTGGGCAGCTATAAAAATCAGTGTCATCATTATTCTACAATCAATCAATCAACAAACATTTATGAAGCACATTCTATGTGCCAGGATTTTTCTAAAATCAATCCATAAACATTTATTAACTGCCTCCTATGTACCAGGCACTGTACTTAAGCACTAAGGACACAAGAGAGGCAAGACAGCCTGTGCCCTCAAGGAGCTCACTATTTAACAGGAAGACAACATGCAAACAAATATATACAAACAAGCTATGTTCAGGACAAATGGGAAATAACAGAGAAATGGCACCAGAAGTAAGAGGGGTTGGGAAAGGCTTCCTGCAAAAGATGGGATTTTAGTGGAGACTTACGCATCATAATCCTGAATGACCATCCCAACAGACCAGATAGCAGTCAAATATTCATTAACTCCATTGGGGCTGATATAATGAAGAGAGTCAGGAGACCTCGGATCACCATTTGAGCCAGTGAAGTCTACTCCCACCTGCAATAAACAAGAGTGTTAACACCTACCAAGGCTAGAAGGCACAGAAGTCAGTGCTTGACCTCAGGAGAAATTTCCTGCACCAAACCCATTGTTCTCTAAGTCTGTTACTGACGTGCCCTAAGAGCAAGCATGTGTCTTGGCATTTCTGTAGACAATTAAATCAGAGTGTTTAAAGAGAGCATTTCTTGGCCTCATCATGAAACTATCTCTCAAATTGTTTGCATGAAATAAATACATACCTGCTATTGCTATTATTCCAGAAGCCTTAAATAGTGAATTTCTATTGCACTCAGCCTTTAACTTGGTGGATTTGCTGCAACTGTTGCTGTTTTCAGTTAACAGTCCTCTGAATTACTCTGTTTATTACTGAATGAGCACAGATTCTATACATGTCTGCTTGCTCTCAGGAATGACAGATTTTCTTGTTCATAAAACAGAAAGCTTATGACAAGCTCAGAAATTGGGTCTGGGCAGAACACATTTAATGAATTTATAGAAAATCTGGTCACACATTCAGTTACAAACAAACAAAAACAGTTATAAGACAGGCAGTAAAGTCTTTGTATCACATCCCACCCTATAAAACCCAGCTCAATATACATTGAAATTTATTTCACGTACGGTAAAATTCAGCTGACATCCTCCCATGATGTAGTCAAGGAATGTGCATTCCACTGTAATCTAAACACAGAGACTTAAAGTTAAAACCCTCCCTTTGTAAAATACAGAACAAGGAGTTCTATTCACTTAGGTTTTGAAGAGGACATAAATTAATCTTGCTGAACCAAACTGAATAAAGGTAAAATGTAAATACATGCAAATTAGTGCTAAATTCTAGTCTAAGATGTCTCTGTTTCACTAGTCCCTCTATCCCTGAATTTATACCTCTTTCCAAATACATGGGAATAAAGACTCATGTTACAGTATTTGCAAAGCCATTCCATTTTACCTTACTTTCTTTGCCAATTCCCTAGTAAAACACAAATTTAATGCTATGCCAACTCACTCCATTCTGGTTGGATTTCAGCACACAAAGCCAGCCCTCTACTTATCAGTACTTTCAGCATTTCTTATTCCACTAAAAGACCTTCTAACATTAATGGCGGCACCTTAGCTCAACATCCCAGGGATGTCCTAGGTGGGATTACACGTCAGGATTACATTTTACTTTTAATGGAATGATCTTAATTCCAAAAATAGGGCATTACCACCATCACGATAGAAATGTTACCTCAACCAAAAATGGGAAAAAAAAAATGATTGGTTTTAGGAGCTTAACAGTGGGTAAAGTAACAAGGGCTTTGTTTGTAGTTTTCACAACCAAATCAATCAGGAAACAACTCTCTTATATAATAAGAAGTCTCAGAAACTCATAGCCTGAGGGAAAAAAAAAGATTTTTCCTCCTCACATTATAATCATTATTAAATCTTCTCAGCTTGAAAAGACTAACAGCATGGACAATACTGGTTCAGGCTACTCACACTCCAACAAGCTTGAAAAATGCCAGGTCATCAGGCACTGTGTGCAGGGCTGGTAGGTCACAGTGTGTGTCTGCCTTCTGCTGGAAAAGTACCAAATATGTAGAGTGCCCCACAGGCCTCTAGACAAATGCCTCTATACTTTCTGAGATGTTTTGACCCTTGAAGTAAACATGCCATTTAAAATAATTTGTTGTAACTCACTATCCCTATTCCCCTCTGCTCCCTGAAGATCTCAAAACACAATGTTTAATTTCTGGAATTTCTAGAAGTCAAAGATTCAGGTGCCCAGACACATAGCGTGTTGGTTCAGGTAATGGGAACAATTCTTCAAACCGACCTCAAATTAAAGCAATTAGCCCAACTAGTACTGACCTCACAGCGTTTCACACTGATGATACCGGAATTTTTGTAGCTTTTCTTCTTCAGCCTCTTTTTTTCATTTATGCATTCAAATTCAACCTACAGGAATTGAAAGATAAATGTAAACTACAAAAAAATTCCATTACCCCACCAGAAGTCTTGGTAAGGATTTAAGGAATGATTTTTCCCTCTATCCACATTATGCCTCTCATTCCTATGCCAAAAATCTCCTGAGCCCTAAATAGCTTTATATATTCATCAAATGTGCAAAATATCACTAATAGTTAATTTTCCTGGAATTGGCACAGGCCTAATATTGGATTTGCCTTAGAACAGGATAATTTTTGCTATTCCAGAAAGAGCAAAATGAGTTGCTTAGAAAAAGAAACATGTTGTGACCTTGGGCAAGTCACTTAACTCCAATTGCTTTACCAAAAAAAAAAAAAAAGAAAAAAGAAAAAGAAACATGTGACTATTAGAGAACCAAGGAACACTGAAGAATCTCTACCAAACAGCACAAGTGCCTTCAAGAGCTTTCTTAAATTATCAGATACATTCATTAAGAGTAGAGTAAACCATTCTATCATATAAGGGAATTTTACATGCAATCTGTAATCTGATAATTCTGTTATCCTCCATTCTACCTTTTGTCCCCTCTTCACTTGATTCCTTCTCTTCAAATAGATATCCTCTGTCCATTCGCCAAAAGTCCTTTCTATCCCCTCAAGACTTACTCATCCATAAAGTCTTTCCTGTGTAATCCAGTCCTCTGAAATCCCATTGCATTTAGAGTCTATATCAAGGATCAGCAAACTATTTCCAGAGGACCAAATCCAGCCTCAGCCTGGCTTTCTGTACTGCCCCAGCCAAGAATGGTTTTTATGTTTTAAAATACAATAAGACTTTTAAAATGTACATTTTAAAAAATATATTCAAAAATGCAAAAACTATTCTCGAAGGTCTTACAAAAGCAAAAAGGTGGCTGGATTTCACCTTCAGACCTCTATATCATACAATTTAGTGTTGAATTATATATAACACTGAATGATTGTTATCTCATCCCCATCTCACACTCCTGTTAGTAAAACATAAACTCCTTGAGAGTAGGACTTTCATTTGTGTCTCTGTGTACTTGGCACCTGGAATAGTGCCTCTGACATAGTAGGTGCTGAATAAATACTTTGTGAAGGAAGGTATGAATGAATGAAATATTTGAACATGGGTTAATCTTACCTCTCCAACTGAACTGTAAATTCCTTAAGGTCAGAGACTATGTCTTTTGCTTCTGTTCCCTGTTCCTACTGTGAGCTTAATTCAATTCAAAGCATTATTCTAGTCAAAGAAAATAAGTAAAATAGTCTCTTCCCATTAGGAGTTTTATATAAAATGTAGTAACTGGTTATAACCCAGTGAAAATATGCAGTGCAAATTTGAATAATGTGATCCCTTCGGGAGATTTCTTCTCCACACTAATCAAGATCTAGTATAATCAGGCTAAGAAAAGAACAAAAATAATCAAAGTTTATGATGATAAGTGCCATAAAAGAACTTCAATTACAGTGGTAAGATAGATAAGAGACAGGAAATATCACACCCTTTGGATAATCAGGAAAGACTTTTTAAAGGGAATTGCATTTGGAATGGATAAGCTGTTGACAGTTAGAGATTGTAAATAAGAAGTACCAAGTAGAGAATAGCACAAACAAAGGTATAGTAGCAGGACGTGCATGTCAAGTTCAGGGAACAGAATAGTCCACTTTGGTTGATAAACAGTCTACGTGATGGTCAAAGGATATGAACAGTTAATTTTTGTTTTTTGGGTTTTCTTATTTTTTATTTTTTTTTATTTTTTAAATAGTATTTTATTTTTCCAATTACTTATAAAGACAATTTTCAACATTCATTTCTTTTCAGATTTTGAGTTCCAAATCTTTTCCCTTCCCTCCTCCCAACCCCCCTCCCCAAGACAGTAAACAATCTGATAAAGATTATACATATGTAATCATGTAAAACATATTTCCCTACTAGTCATGTTGTGAAAGAAACAGAACAAAAGGAAAAAGCTATGAAAAAAAACAAAGAAAGAGAAAATAGTATGCTTCAATCTGCATTCAGACTCCATCAGTTCTTTCTCTGGATGTGGATAGCATTTTCCACCATGAGTCTTTTAGAATTGTCTTAGATCACTGTATTGCTGAGAAGAGCTAATGAACAGGTAGTTTTCAGAAGAAGAAATCAAAGTTATCTATAGTCACATAAAAAATGCTCTAAATCACAATTGATTAGAAAAATACAAATTAAAACAATTCTGAGATACTACCTCACACCTGTCAGATTGGCTAACATAACAGGAAAGAAAGATGACAAATGTTGGAGGGGATATAGGAAAACTAGGACAGTAATACACCAGTGGTAGAGTTGCAAACTATTCCAACCATTCGAAAGAACAATTTGGAATTTTGCCCAAAGGGCTATAAAACTGTGCATATCCTTTCACCCAGCAATACCACTACTAAGTCTGTAACTCAAAGAGATCAAAGGACCTATCTGTACAAAAAATATTTATAGCAACTCTTTTTGTGGTGGCAAAGAACTGGAAATTGAAGGGATACTCATCAATTGGGGAATAACTGAATAAGTTGTAGCATACGATTGTGATGGAATAGTATTACACTATAAGAATGACAAGCAGGGTGATTTCAGAAAAACCTAGGAAGATTTATATGAACTGATGCAAAGTGAAGTGAGCAGAATCAGAACATTTTACACAGTAACAGCAATATTGTAGGATGATCAGCTGTGAAAGACTTAGCTACTCTGATCAAGATAATGATCCAAGACAATTCCAAAGGATCTAAAGGTGAAAAACACTATCCACCTTCAGAGCGAAAATTGATGAACTCTGAGTACAAATTGAAGGATGCTTTTTAAAAATTCTTTCTCTCGGGGCAGCTAGGCGGCACAATGAATAGAGCACCAGCCCTGGAGTCAGGAGGACCTGAGTTCAAATCCGACCTTAGACATTTGATACTAGCTGTGTGACCCTAGGCAAGTCACTTAACCCCAATTGCCTCACAAAAAACAAATTCTTTATCTTACCTTATTTCCTTCTGCAACATGGCTAATATGGAAATGTTTTGCATGACCTCATATATAAAATGGAAATCAAATAGTTTGACTTCTCAAGGGAAGGGGGGGCAGGAGGGAGGCAGAGGATTTGGCACTCCAAATTGCTAAAAAATGTTTGACATGTAACTGGGAAATATTTAATGAAATAAAAATAATCTTTTTAAAATGACGTTCAGTTATGTCCATCTCTCTATGACCTTATTTGGGGTTTTCTTGGCAAAGATAATAGAGCAGTGTGCCATTTCCTTCTCCAGCTCATTTTATAGATGAGGAAACTAAAACAAACAAGATTGAGTGACTTCCCCAAGGTCACACAGCTAATAAGTGTCTGAGACCATATCTGAACTCAGGAAGATGAATCTTCCGGACTTCTGGCCCAGTACTTTATCCACTGCACTACCTAGCTGCCCTAAGGAAGGTACTGGAGAGGTAATAAAGATGTAAACTAGGGCAGTGACAGAGGAAATGGAGAGAAGAAAAACTCATATGACAGTTTAGAGGTAAAGTCTTAAAGATTCTGCAACTGAATATGGGTGATAATAAAGAAGATGTAAAAGATGGCGCTAAAATTTCAAACCTGGGAGAATGAAAGAATGGTGGTACCTTTAGTTTGGTCAGAAAGCTGACTTTGGCTAATTGAGAGTTTTATATATATATATAGGATCACCATTTTTCAGACTTTCAGAATATAATACAATATGCTAAACATTCAGGTGATGGTAAATGAAATTTAATCTTGCCTTCATGGTCCAAAAGACACTTCAGCATCTTGATTATCCCTTGGGACCATCATTACAAAAAGCAATTAACATTATAGGGTAAATTCCAGACGTATCCCTAATAGAATTTTGGTCACAATAAAATGCTGGATAAACTGGAATTTTACTATATTAGAAAACATAAGCTGCTAAAGCTGGATGAAACTGAATTAGAAACATTTGGCCACAGACAAGACCTGCTTCCCAAAACCAGGTCATCTCCTAATTCTCCAAGATATACATAATAACCCAGAGAGAATGACCAAGCTCTTGGTAATATATATAAATTTAACTCCTTTGTTTGGCAAGATCTTCCTTGGATTTCCAGGCTAAATTCTGACATTCTCATTTGTTTTCAAACCCATCACTACTTTCTGCAACTTGTTAATTTTTCAATATCAGTGCTTTGTATTTTTAGTAATAAGCAAGTTTTTAGTATTAATGAAGTCTCATTAAATCAAAACTATATTTGTCCTGAGAATTCTTCTACCTACTAAGGCAGGTTCTTGAAATTCATGTTGGGGGTGGGGGGGAGGGGTGGAGGGACAGTGAATATATATCTGAACATGTTTCTCTTCTAAGTCTTTTTTACTTTTCGGTCCTAGTTAAAACCAAATACAAAGATAAATGAAACAGCAAAATGTTGGCCTTAGATATTCAGCAGGAAATACGACTGCTAATTGTTGTGATATCAAACAACCACTTGTTTATGGAGATACAACATTACCTCAGATCTGATGATTTCTCGTTGATAAAATTTCTCAAAAGATTTCTGTGGTATTGCTGGAAGCAGTTTTGTATGAAAGAAGCTGTTTGAAAAGCTTGAGTTCACAAATATGTAACAACTAATTAAAACCACATGGTGATGTGACAAAAAGACCTTATGCCTTTCAGTCTAATGCATTCTACCAGGATCACTTGCAAATCATCACAAACACTGGACTAGCACAGAACCAACACTCCCCATCACTGGTCACCAAGTCAATGGCATCACATAAAGCCTGACCGGTTCCAAATTAATTTTTCCTCTTTCCAAATCACTTCTGCCTTGTTTACTGGTGACTGAGCCTGAGATGAAATGATTCAGGATCAAAGAGAACAAATTAACACCACAATTTGCCATTTACAACCAAAAAACACTCATTCTCTCTTTCAGAGCTCTGCCAGAAAGAATGCATATTGGGAAAATCTAGCCCAGCTATGTTATAAAATTCATTTTCCCCCAGTTACATAGAGAGCTCTAAAAAAAAAAAAAGGACCTCAATATTATTATAGCCATTGTTTTAGGAGCCTACCTCAAATATAAAAATTATATACTCTTACTGAAAACTATGACCGCCCATCTACCTATCCTATCCTCCACAGATCCCTGAGCAGAATACTATTCATCACTTCTCACTTTTAGAATTTCTAGCTTCCTTCAAAGCTCATTTCAGGTATTACTTTCTACACAAGGCTTTTTCTTATTCCCTCCTCCTCCCCCCCAATTACTTAATTACTAGTGCCTCCTTGAAATTATCTTGAAATTATTTTGCACTGCCTTATCTATGGACCTGCTGTTTTCCTCAGTAGAATGTAAACTCCTCAAAAGCAAGCATTATTCTCTTTTTGTCTCTAGATCCTCAGTGCCTGGCATAGTTACTATACTTAGTAGGCATTTAATACAAATATTCACAGAATAGATCAGGAGACTAGAAAGGCAATTTACACTCCACATCTATGCCATTCAAATCAGAAAAGTAAGCAACAGACTAGGGAGGGAACCAGTGCTGCATTGTACTACCAAGGAAGCACTAACTTGCTTTATTTAGAAAGTATTATGAGCTGTGGTGGATCAAATACACATTTGTTTCAGGAACTGCTTTGTAGAAAATTATGCTGGGTTACCACAGAGTGAAATGACCTCAATGGAAATAATCAGACTGGAGTAAAGGCATCCAAATGGGTACCCTTTTAATGGAATTAGCTGAACTAGATGTATCTCCTAACAAGACCTCTCCCTGAGCAAATGCTTCATATTAGAACCCATGATGAGCATTGATTCCATCGTTCTCCTGGGTGAGAAGGGAAAGATAGACAGAAGAGTCAAACAGAAGACATAAAATCCATCCCAAAAAACAGATTCTACTGCATTATTTAAAAAAATGGCATCCCCTTGGCTTGAGCTATAACAATGACAAAAATTCTACTAGGCAATACACACTAGGCAATACAATACTAGTCAACTGAGACTGAACCTCTAAAATTAAATATAAAGCAAGAATACCAACTCACACTCATGTGCTTTTACTAGACTTATAAAGATTTAAATTATTCTATGTAATTATAAGGAAGATATATGCAGGGCTGTTATTCACACTAACGAAAAACCCCAGCTACATATGCAAGACCGAAATAAAAGAGGTATATACAAATTTAAAAAGTTACTCACGGGAGAGTTTCGGGAGGCTTCTTTTAGTTTTGTCATAGTGGTTTGAAAAGTTCCAATGAGATCATGTGACCCATCACTATCATAATCATAACACTCTACCTGAAATTAAGGATAATTAAAAATAAACAAAAATCAACATCTCTCTGATTAACAAGGGCATATGGGAATAAATGTGATCTGATAACACCTACCTTTTGCCTCTTAGGATGCCAAAACCTTTGCATTTAGTCATTAGACTTACAAAATCAAGAGCTTTAAAACAGACTCCCTGCCAAATTATCGACACACACAGCTTGAACTACTGGGATACGGCTTCCATGGAAAAGGCATCTGAATACTCACCTATCTCAATCATCCATGGTACGAGGACAAAGAGAGCAAAGATAAGTAAAATCCTGGTATCATTTTTTAAAACATAATACCACTGCCCCTCTCCCACTAAAAATCTTTTCAAAGACTTTAACAAGTAGCAAAATAAGCTGGTTTTTAATCTTCTTTTCCATCCTTTCCTACATCCTCTTGTGGCAGCAGCCAAGAAGTCACTACTTCCAAGGAAGGTGGGGGCAAAGCCAGAATGCTGGGGTATTTACACAGATTATTATACTATCAGACCTTAAGCAATGAACCATTCAGCTTCACTGGTTTTCCCCTAGTGAGACCTGTCTGATATCATTTAGACTGCACAAGGCCTGATCAGTGTCACACTGAGAATCCAAACTGTCAAGAGGAAAAAGAAAGCCGGAAAATCAATACCGAAATCACTGAAGGGGGATCTCGGTTGGTTGTCTTTTTATCTTCATCTGTGCAGCTCAGGTTAGTAAAACTTTTGATAGGGAAGACGCTAAGTGTCTTAGCTTTGGCTTTCATTTATCTGCTGGGCTCCAATAGCCAAGAGTCTCCATTTTCCACTTTTTCTGAATATGAGCAATACTGACTATAAGTAATATAATATACTAAGTATATTTCTGAATATATAATATAATGCCTATTTTGCACTAAATAGATTTACTCATGGTTCTTCCTTTTTAGCCTTGCTAAATTCAGAATAGGAGGAAATGATGAGAGGGTCTATCCTGGCAACAGAAAAAACTGCTCTATAAAAGCAGAGGCAGGGGCAGCAAAGTAGAGTAATGGATAGGTCACCAGCCTTGGAGTCAGGAGGACCCGAGTTCAAATCCACCTCAGACACTTACTAGCTGTATGATCCTGGGCAAGTCCCTTAACCCCTAATTGCCTCCAAAAAAAAAAAAAAAAAAGAGCAGAGGCCTCCTACCTACCCAGCTTTAGAACACAACAGAGATGCAACAGTCTTGAACCCTGTGCATTAATGAACACAAGGATGAGAAGTCTGGCCTAGATGATCACTAAGGTCTCTCCTATAGTGGTTCTATATTGTATGACCTGTAATCTATGAAATACTGCCTAGAAAGTGTAGCAAGGTGACACAGTGGGTAGAGCACTGGCCCTGGAATCAGGAGGATTCAAGTTCAAATTCAGCCTCAAATACTTACTAGCTATATGACCCTGGGCAAGTCATTTAACCTTGACTGCCTCTAAAAAAAAAAAAAGAAAGAAAGAGAAAAAAAAGAAATACCCCCTTGAAAACCTCTGAATTCTCTTAGGATATGTAGTCCTCATGAAAATCCTTTAGTTAAATTTTTAAAAAAAGAAAAGAAAATCCTTTAGTTAAAAAGCAATTTGGTTTTACCCCAACATTTCTGTGACCTCTGCTCTACAAGAGCCAAATTAAGTCATTTTTTTTCTTTTCTTTATAATGATGGTCATCTCTCCTACCAGGAGGTCTTTCATTCCTAACTTTAACCTCCTTATAGGAGACTAAGAAAACACAGAAAATGTAAAGGCAGTCAGCACATTACCACGGAAAGCAGACTGGATTTAGAACTGGAGATCCTATGTTCAAATTCTGGCTTTGCCACTTAATAACTTGTGTTACTTTGGACAAGTCCCTTAACTTCTCTGGGCCTCGGTTTCTCATCTGTGAAATGAAGGGGTTGGACTACATGGCATTGATGATGCCCTACAGCTCTAAGTCTCTGAATGTGTAATATGCAACAACTGATGATTTCACACAACACTATTTAAAGTCAGAAAGACGCTTCTAACACTTAGGACCACCAATATTTCTAACATTTTGCCTGTTCTACCCCACTTACTCTATTTCCAAGCCTAAAATTTTTACTTTTTTCTTAAAAGTCTAGAGTAGAAGAAAAACGAATGACTTTAATTCAAGCTTCCTGCTTCTAAAAATAAAAATACAAAATGCCACATAATCCTAATTTTAAAAAAATTATTTAAGTTTTCAATTGTTTTCCAATAGTGAAAACTTTCAGAATTGCAGGCAACAAATGCTATTTCACACACAAGCTTTGGGAAAGAAAAGAACTTACAGAAGAAAAATGTTATAAAGATTTAGTAACTGCTCATATGTTTAGTTTCCCCTGGAGCTTAACTTCTCTCCAAAAAAAAAATTTTAAGTTTGTGATTATTTGCTACAGTCAGTGGATGTGGCACATTCTGATTTCTCTCCCCAATTAATGTTTTATGTTTGTCTAGCACTTTCTAATTTCAAAACACTTTCATATGCATTATCTCATTTCCTCATCCTACCTGTAAGGGAGGAAGACAGTCTCCATTTCCTATCTACGGGAACTGAGATGTAGAGAAATTAGGTGAATTGTCCAAAATCAGCAAGAAAATTAGTGGTAAAGCTGAGAAGCTTTCTGTGTATTTCATAGGCTTTATTTTTTAAAAAGGGGAGCTAAGGGAGACATGACTCTGCAACACTCACTGGCATGTGGCCAGATACAGTGAAAATAACACCATAGGATTTCTGCCCATTTTTCTCCTCAAAAATGCATGGATCATATCATTAGTCAGTGTCTATCAATAATGGGTTAAGAAGAAGTGATACAAGGACACTCTCAAGGTCTCTCTTAAGAACTTTGGAATGGAGGGGCAGCTAGGTGGCACAGTGGATAGAGCACCGGCCCTGAAGTCAGGAGGACCTGAGTTCAAATCCAGCCTCAGACCAAACACTAGCTATGTGACCCTGGGCAAGTCACTTAACCCCAATTGCCTAAAAAAAAAAAAAAAAACTTTGGGATTGGAAATAATATGTTGTGTTTCTTTTTCAGGCTCCATGTGTATCAATAAACACAGTTCACTCTACTGCAATAAAAAAAAAAAAGAACTTTGGAATTGGTTGTATAACATTAGAGATACTGGCACAGGACCACCCAGCATGGCGTGTTCTAATCAAAGAAGGTGCTGTGCTCTATAAGCAAAGCAGAATTACAGTAGCTCAAAACAAACTCGAGGTGCACAAATTTAGAGAATTCACCCAAAATGTTCACATGGACTACTAGTGCCCGACCTGTGGTAGAGCATTCTGAGCTCATATTGGTCTGATCAGCCACTGTCGGACACACTGTAACTTGACTCCAACACAATGATGTCATTTGGTCCTGTTTGAGAATGGACAACCAACCAACCAACCAACCAGAAGCGGTACTTGCAAAATTCAAAGTTTAACATTTAAACACATGCACAGTATACACACACACATATTTAAAGACATACATATAGAAATATATAAAAAAGCCCCCACACCACACAGCTCCACAACATTATACTGATGCATTCACATTCTTGGCAAGGTGGCAAGCATGCATGATTATTTGTCTTCCTGTCTGCTTGATGTTATGGAAATGATACATGCTAAAAGCCCAACACTTGGCAAGTTCATACAGTACAGAAATCACTGCTGATTTTCACAGCAGACTCTCCTCCCCAGCCCCTCAACTGCTCACTTCTGTTAGTCCTCAAAGCAGAAAGACTCACAGATCTATAAAACTTTCTGAGACTCACTGCAAACACACACATACACACACAATTTAGAAAAAAATGTAACTGACAATGTAGGCAGTCAGTTTGTACATTTTTTTATGAATGCACAAACTGAGGGATTTTGAAATGAAGAGAGGCATTCACTAGAGAAAGCTCAGAAAACCAGTTTACTTACTATAATAAAATAGCCCATTAAGCATGCCACTGTGAGCAGAAAAGTTTAAAAGCATTATTTAATCTTTAACACAGCATTAGAAATGAAAAAGAAGAGTCATAATTTGGGCAGTTCCAACATTCTCTGTCTACTCTGGTCCTATGGATGGAGCCCCAAGTTATCATTATTTGAGAAAAAAATAAAAATTCAAGAGATATAATGCTGCATAGAGACATTGTTAAGCTGCTTTTATGGATTTGCTTTTATTTCTAGGTTATTACTCCCAGTGATGGCTAAAATACTTTAGATATCAAATATATTCTCATATGACAAAATTTTATGAATCCAAGATAGAGCACAGTTTTTACATAGTAGTTTCCAAATCTATATATTCCTGCTTTACCCAAATTAATTGCAATGGAATTACTTTGGAGTTCTTTTTGAGTGAGGGGAAAAACTATTCTTGGAAACACATAAAGAGAACTCTAAATTTAATTTACTTTTTTGTGTCACTCAATTTTAAGAAGAGTTTATGCAGCATTGATCCCAGGATGACAGACATCAGTCAATCACTTCCTTTTGGATTATTCTGTAGTCTCATCCTACTGTTCTAAAATCCTAAATAAATGAGATTATCCTACTTTCTGCTGAAAATGATGAATGGAAATATCAAAACCTCCCTCATTTCTTGAGTACTGGTCTGTGTGTTTCACCTTGGTTAAAACAGAGTATACACTTAAAAGATTCCTAAACTCAAAGCAAGAGAATTCTAATTAAATACAAAGACTAACAAAATGGTTGGATTTTTTTCATCAGAAATATGGAGTGAAATTGAAAACAGTGTTTATGACACTGAATTGGTAGAGATAAGGATAAAAAGCTATATTACATTATTACAGACTCTCTGATTCACTTCCCTGGAGTCAGCTTCCTCCTCAGGAATTCTCTAGATGTGAATATGAATCCAACTCCATAAAGATATCTGCTTTACCATATGTTCTGCTTTTTCATATACTGCTTCACATTTCAAAAAAATACATATAGACAATACTCATGTTACCTTAATGGTTTTGTCCATATCTCCATAGCACAGAGAGTTAAGAGAAATTTTGAAAGGTTTCCAAACAGGATTCAAGTTGTTTTTAATGACCTATGAAAAGGAATGTAAAGGAATGTAAAAATATTGACTAGAAACAAACCCCAACTTAATCAAATTGGTTTTACTAGTGCTTTCCCCTTTTGGATTGTCTAACAAGATTGTTTCTTGCTTTTCTCTGTATCTCCAGCACTTAGTACAGTACCTAATACATAGTAAACATTTCATAAATGGTTGTTGATTGACTGACTACTGATTTTCATGCTACTATCAGTCTTTCTTTCTTTACTTGCTGATGTTTTCATGCTTTTCTTAAAGAAAATCCAAAGCAGGACCTATTTTTCAACCTCTATGAAAACCATACATAAAAGACACCATCTGGTAGTGGAATGAAGAAAAAAATAGTTATTGGGGCCAATACATTCACCCATTACAAAACTTTCAAGGGTAACAAAAACGGCAGTCAGGAGATATATGTTACCACTTACATGTAGAAAAAAAAACTGAGTTAAAAAAGAAATGTAAACTTACAACACTAGACATTCCTTCATCTAGTCACAACTAAATTATACCTGCATTCTGGTTCCTTGTTTGCTGAAACAAGAAAGAAGCCTAGTACCATATTGATCCAAATATAGGCGACACTTTTTTTCTGTCTAAATCTGACTTGCATAAAATCTAAGCGCTGCCTATAATCCATGTTATTTTTTCCAATATATAAGCATGTACTTGACTTTGATTTGTTACAACACTCACTTTAAGGAGATGGCCTATACTTAACAGTAGCCTACATGTATCTGAACCAATCAAATAACAGGTTGGCATTGTTGTGAGATGACTGTAATATACCCTAGTATTCTCGTAAAAACTCATAGTAGGATGTACTCACAATATCCTCTAAAAAATTTTTTAACATATATACATTTTGAGGAGGATGTATAATGAATAATTTGTGCAGTTCAGTCTTTGCAAGTCTGGACTTTCATGGCGATTTTTCTAAGACAGGTACTGAATCCAAGAAAATACTCATGAGTGAAGGGGCAGAAGAACAACAGAGTTGATGATGGCAACAATACAAATATATTATATATGTATGTATGTATGTATAAATATATGTATACATATATGTATATGTGTATATGCATATAGATATGATAACCATATAAGTATAAAGACAATTCCAACTAGCAACAAAACACAAGCCAAAAAAGACAATTTTGGTATCAAATATTAAAGTTAAAGTTAAACCTTTCTTTCGAGTAACAATAGGTTAAGCTACAACAGTAGAAAGTGGCAAATCATAATCAAGTACAGTTGCTGTTGAGGTGATTTTGCTAAACTCATATCAGGGAATGTAATTGGTGGAAGGTTTGTTTGTTTGGGAAGTCTCAGCTGTGTCCACACAAAATGCATCAATTGAAAGAAAAAGAAAGAAAACAGTCATAATACTGATATTCAATTGAAAGAAACTTCCTTCTAAAACATACTTTTCATCCTTATACTCCACTAACTTACCTCTGTTCTATGTACCATTAGCCACTGTCCATCTGATGTCTGCTTGTGAAATTCCAGGTAGGGATCAGATTTTCCAAATAAATCCTAAAAATAAAACAGCAAAACCATCTGCAACTATAGTGTAGTGTTGAGCTACATGAAGTTAGTATCAGCTCAAATATACATTGGTGTTAATTAAATTAGGAAAAAAAACAATTATCTACCTCCCCAATCACTCAGAACTAAGGGCTAATGTGCTGGAAAATACATAAACTTAGAAATCTCTTTGCAGTAATATATGTTCCCTATGGGCAAAGTTGTCTTAGAGAACAGATGGCATTAAGAATCTGCCCTTAAACTTTTTAAAAAATGTTGTCTTCTTGACACAAAGATGATAACTTTGACCACTGATGAATAAGGCATAAATTTTGAACTATTTTTCTAGCAGAGGTGGTAGATTTGCATTGATCACCTACTCTTCCTTATGACTGATGCATATGATAGCTATTTGACTGACATGGACAGGGGTTCAGTCTATGGACAATGAGAATAAATCTACCTTGATAATAAAGAATACAATGGAGTAGTCTCTGTTGGCTATTTATTTTAAACAAATAAGTTAACAAGTGACATAAAAAATTCAGGAGTACAGAAGTGACTTCGTTTGATCAGCTAAAATAGACACAAACTTTCCATTTATGTTTTACTTGAAAATTATATTTAATACTTAAGTACTGGCACCTAATTTTTCTTTTCTGGATGTTTTTCCTCCCTCAGTTAACCCCATTTACTGTTGCATCCCCAAAATCTCATTTCCTACCCATTAACACAGAGGTTCCACGACACAAACATGTTCTGGGTTTCAGGGGTAGTAGTGGTGGAAGTGCGACTTTCCCAAGCCTTTGAAAGATATTATTTCATTTTATCCTCACTACCACCACCACCACCACCAACTGCTCATGCCTTCTACTTTAACATTACCTTGTATCTACTCTGTATATACCTTGATATGCCTATTTGTATACCTGCTATGTCCTCTATTTTAATGTAAGCTCCTTGAGGGCAAATATTACTTTTTTTTTATACCCACAGTATTTAGCACAGTGCCTGGCACATAGTAAGTGCTAAATATATTCATGATGATTGGTTGAAAACAAGTTGGTGAGATAGGTAAAGTATTAAAAATTTTATTTTGTGGGGGAAAATACTGAGGTACAGTTCATTGTCAGATGTCACATACCATGACAATACTTAAACCAAAACCAGAACCAGGGTTTCCTAATTCCAAACCAAGGATATCTGTCCAAACTAGATCATGATCATCTTCAGGTATAAATCAAACAAAAAAAAATTAAGCTATTTTAAAAAATGTTAAGAACTGAATTACCATTAAAGATTTTTAAACAAACACTAACACTTCTACGCAACTTTTTTTTTTTTTGAGAAAGAAAAGTAAATATGTTAAGTTGTAAAAGTGGAGCAGGTAAAATCTCAGAGATGATGGGTTCAGATAAAAAATATGGAGTTAGTGTCAGATGTACTGAGTGTAATTAACTACTCAATTTATACACATCACAATATTCCAGAACCCTTCCCCGAACTGTTCTTAACAAGAGGCACATTACTAGGCTTTGTTTGAAATCAAATTTCTCTCCGAAAGGAAACTAATGTGATTTAGTTGAGTTTTATTACATTACTGAAACCTTTACATTCTACCAACCTTGTTATCCAGTTTTCTTGCTTCAATTTCAAATAAGACCACTCTGTTATCCTTTACTTCTTCAGCTGAAATCTAATAACAGACAAGTTAAATAAGAAAAAAATAGAATCTATGTAGGACCCTGGCCTATTTTTCTAGTATTGATATATTTTGTTGTGTAATAGTGTATTATTTTGTCCTACTTTCAGATGGATTTTAAAATATTTAATAATTATACTAGTGTTGAATACACAATGATGTTTAGGAAAGATGTGCCATGGTAAATGAAAAAAAAAAAGTCTGAAACATCAAAGAATTCTCTTAATGAGTCAACCCTATTTAAATGAACTGCAAAAGGAAATACATCCAATATTCTTTTTCTAATCTGGTCGTCCCCACCATTAACAAATGGCTAAACAAATTGTGGCATATAAATGCAATAGAATACAACTATGCATGTAAGAAATGACAACTATGAAGAATTCAAAGCTGGTACGGAGTGAAGTGAGACAAATCAAGAATATGATATACACAATAACTACAATAATGTAAACAAAAGGAACAATAAAAACAAAACTTAATTTGTAAAGTTAAAATGATAAAGTTTTGCCCCGGAGAAGAGTTGAGAAAATACACATTCCTCTCTTTCTGAGCTTGAGGAACACACTGTCAGAAACCATTAATAAGTATTTGTTGGCTTTATTAAACTGCTTTTTCCCCTTAATTATTTATTTGGGAAACATTTTATAACATATTTATAAAATCTCAGTAAGAAATCATGTAAAATTACAGAAATATCCACTTTACATAAGAGTCAAAAAAAAAACCCACATAAAGAATAAAAATTTTCATTATAAAACATAAGAATATAAACACAATATTGTAAAATAATCTCAGATTATTTGGTGACTTATTACACCATTACAATAGAATTTTAAGAAAAGTTTAATCTTAGGAGAAACTTAGCTTGGACAGTTTGTTCTTATAAGAATTAAACAAGTAAAAAAAAAAAGGCTTTGGCCTTAAGACCAGGTTTTATTCTGAAATATCTGTGTATAAAACAGCAATAAAATGCCAAAGCTCTATAGATACAAGAAATTTTTTAAAATCTTCAATGGATTTCTCTTCATTGAAAAAGACAAATGCTGAAAGAATAAGGTAAGTTTCAAAATAACACAGAGTAGTTGGGTTGAATCTCAATTGGAAAAATTTCTGCTGAAGACAGCATGAATATTCCTAAACTAGAACTATTTTTACTTCATTTAGGTGGGTAATAAAGTCACATATGTGACTTTATTTATTTTTTAATCTTTGTTGCAAGATAATTGATAGATATATAGAGGAAATCAATATGATGTAAAAACAAAAGACATCTATCAAAAATGACGCCCCCCAAAACATGGCTGTAGAGGTATTAGTGGCCAAAAGAAGGGAAGTAAGCAGTGGAAATTATATCATTATCTATAAGGATTATCTACATTAACTAAGAAAGATAGTTCTCAGAAAAACTCTTCTTAAAATAGTTATGGTATTTGTTACTTCATGAACTTGAAAATACTAATCCTATCATTAGTTTCGAATTCCAGTGGATCAGGGTCTCAGAACAATAAAACTAACTGTAACATGGTTTTCCCCAGAGGGATTTACAATGTTTTTAATAGACAAGTATGGGGGAATCACAAGGAGATTGCCAAAAGCTGCATAAGATCCAATAATCCAATAATTCGAACAAGAAAGATCTATTCGGGTATTTGAAAAAAAATATATGCAAACTTAGAAATATGTTTGCTATAAAGTACACTCGCAGAGGGCAAGAACTATGGAGTTTTTTATATTGTCTTACTGTGATGTTCCCTTTTCCTGCAGGTTTTCCATTTTTGAGGACCAACGGTCGAGTTAACTTCTTACTGGAGACAATCTATTAGAACCCAAAAACAAAACGAAAATCTATTTCACTTCATTAAAGAAGCTTTGAAATGGAAATTTTTACAGTCCTGAGAAATGTAAACATTAAATGCTTTCCTTGTAGATTTAGAAATTATAAAAAAAAACACTTAAAATATAGCTATTCATACAGCATTTGTTAGAAATTTTCAAAATGGTTATCCAAATAGATACCATCTCCTAACCCACACCAACTCATATTCTTACAGACCAAGATTTTACAACTTCTGACTTTTAATGGAAAAAGAGGGAAAGATTCTCATCTCAGATTCAAATCACACTCAAGTCCCCTCCAGGTCAAAAGATCTGATAATGGCATCTAAGGCAACTTCAGCTTTTCAACTTTCAAACAACTTCAACATTTAGTCCCCAGAAAATACTTATTTGACAAAATAATATGCAGCATATTTCTTTGGCTTATGATCTTGGCTAGATCTACACCCACAATTCTAATCCTTAGCAGAATTATGTTTCTAAGATGCACAGAAATATATTATTCTCAAAAAGCTAAGGCTCAGAGTAACTATGAGTTGTGATACTATCAGAGTTCAAAAAAGATGTATACTACAGAGCTATAGGAATCAAACAGCATATTCCCCCACAATATAAGACACTAATACTGACAAATGTGTTCCAAAAATAGTCCACTTCTGGGTAGTAAAAGATTCATAAGGGCATATTAGAGGGGAAACACACTTTTTGCTGACTAAAACTAAATACTATATAAAATAATCTCTATCTCTTATAAAATATCATTCTATAAAACATCTTATCTTACTATATGGAAAGGATTCTAACAGGATTTAAATATACAAGTAAATGAGTATGATTTTAAATAAAATTTATTTGAATGAACTGCAACAAAAGTAATCTAATGCCATTTCTACGTCAGCAAAGTGAGGCAGTGAATTATAAGTTCTATTATGTCAATTAACATAGAAATGCTCAAAATAAGTTTTTAAAAAGGGTACCTTCACTAAGGTTTATTTTGGTGATTCAAAATCATCTGTAATTGCTCTGAATATAGACTTCTGCTCAACCAATTAGGATACTTGTTCAATTCATTTCAGCAGGTAGAGAACAGCAATGCCAAGTAAATCTAATATTATTATTATTATTCTTTTATCATTGGGTACACAGGCCACATACTCCAAGTCTAAGATACACTAAGGCACCTAGCATAGAATGTCATTCATTAAACATCAATATAATAAAACTCATTCTTGGCCTGAATAAGTTAATGACTACGTGTCTTGCTTGTATCCTATCAGGATAATTATTACTTATTAATTTTGACTTGTAATAAACTTTCAGATTAATATTAACACATTACTGATGATTAACCTACTTTTCAAAATTCTTAGTTCAAGAGTGACGCTTTAAGTGCAATTAAGGAATTAATATTTCAAAAGATCTTTTCTTTTGGCAAGGCAATTGGGGTTAAGTGACTTGCCCAAGGTCACACAGCTAGTAGATGTGAAGTGTCTGAGACCAGACTTGAACTTAGGTCCTCCTGACTCCAGGGCTGGTTTTCTATTCACTGCACCACATAGCTGCTCCTAAAAGATCTTTTCAACATTAACATTCCTACCAGTATTACTGTATAGTAGCAAAGCACAGAAAACAACTGCCTCCAATGAACTGAAAATGAGTATCACATGGAGGGAAATGAAGAGGTACATAGTGGGTGTGAGAAGGCTGAAATGCATAATCAATAAGGAACTTTGAGAAAGAACAGGAATAAAAGATGTCATCAAGGAATTGTATAATATGAAAAGATGATGGGCTTTTAATGACACACGAATGAGGAAGGCCAAGTAGACAGTCTATTTTCCACAAGAGAAAATAAGGAAGGCCTCCAATACATTGGTTGGACTCTCTACATCAAACTTATGAGAAGACAAGCATACAAGTCACCCTATAGATGGACAGGCATGCATGAATTGAGATCTACATCACAGTAGAGAACTACTGAATCAATGAGATTATAGGTCCATTTAAGTCCTTAAAAAAAAAAATCAAAGAAGACCACATGATAAAAGTGGAAAGAACACTGGATTTGAGAGTTGGGGACTCGAGTGCAAAGCCTGACTCTGCCACTTAATATCTGTGTGAACTTGTGCAGGTCACTTAAATTCCCAGTGGCCTTAGTTTCCTTTTCTGTAGAATGAGTAGGTTGGAATAGGTGACCTCAAAGTTCCCTGTCTGTTCTAAAGCTATGATGGCATGATCAGTGATTTCTTCACATAGCTACTCTCTCCAATGGTGCAGATTGTAACTCTTCTTCACCTAGAGTAGTAATTCCTGAATTATAGCTTGAAAATTCTGTCACCTGAGAGTTCCCATCTATTGAAAAATAGCTACATAAATTATGGCATATGAATGCAAATTGAATATTACTATGTCATCATAATGACTAGTGACAAAATGTATGGCTTCAAAGAAAACTGGGAAGATGTATACTAACAGAGTAAAGAATAAAGTGAGCAGAATTAGAACTTATACAAAAATAACACTATAAAGAAAAATAACTTTTAAAGGCTTGAGAGTTCTGATCAATACAATAATAAACCATGATCCCTGAGGATCAAAAAAGAAACATGCTACCCACATCCTGACAGAAAAGAGATGGATTCACGCTACAGAATGAGACAGATATTTTTGAACAATGCAGTAATTTGCTTTGCTTGTCTGTGGATATTTGTCATGAAGGTTTTATTGTCTTTTTTGTTTTTCAGCTGGGAGGATGGGACAAAGAGAAAATGAATTTTTGCTCATAGAAAAATTTAACTTTAAAAACTATCATTTGGTGGTATTTGGTTATACAGCAAGACCTTCTGGCCTTGCTAAAATTAACTAGGCTATCTTGGACAATATACAGAGTTGTCCACCAGGCCTTTCCAGCTTGGTAGCCTCTGCCTGAACTTGTGCATAATCTTAGGAACATAAGTCATAATGAGGTGTACTAAGACTTCATAGGAGAACATTTTGACAAAATTGTGTAGACTTAAAGATTCAGAATTAAATCATAAAAGAGTGAAAAGGGACTTTATAGGCCATCTATTCCAACCTATAACTGAACAGAAATCTCCTTTATACAACTGGATTCCAAATCTGCCACAAACTAGCTCTGCGATCTTGGATAAGTTACCCTCTTGAACTTCATTTCCTCAGTTACAAAAAGGGGAATAATACAACTTTACCTACCTCCTTTCAGCAGCTGCTGTGAGAACAGTAATGTGACATTTGAGCTATATAAAACATCAGCTGTTACCACAAATTCATTTCCCTCCATATGGCACCTCAGTCAAGGTCAGAACAGAGCTTGGATCTTCTATTCCTAGGCATGCATAGTCAGCAGATTGGAGTTCAATATTAAGAAAAATGTCCTAACAATTAGAATTCTGCAGAAGCAGAATATTTCAGGACAGTTCCTGAGTTTCCTATCACTAGAGGGCTTCAAGTGGAGACCAGATAACCAGTTGTCTAAGATACTATAAGGAGGAATAAAGACCTATTCAAGTGTGAGTTGGACTTCATGAACATGTTACATCCCTTCCAACCTTAAGAACTTAGTGAGAATCGTGCAACTGTATCATTACAGAATCAAACAGAAGAGATTAGACTTGGAAATTTCAGAATCAGACTTTTTTAATATTCCTCAGTTAAAGTTGGGCACACTTTATATGATTCCAGACTTCATAAAACTTAAGAGTCTAAGTGATAAAAACTTCATCATGCTAAAAACTTAGCTATGAAGAAAAACTTGGGGTTTTGTAGATTTAATGTTTTAAACCTAATTCTTATATTAATAAAGTCTTTCTTAGAAGTATACATTAGATTGTACATATAATAATAGTTAGCATTTATATAACAATTTAAGATTTGCAAGTTACCTTACATATGTTTTCTCATTTGATCCTCACAACTATCCTGTGAGTATGTAGTATTATATTCATTTTACAGATGAGGAAACTGAGGCCATAGTTCCCCACCCCTGATTTAGTGATTTGCTGAGAGTGATACAGCTACTAAGCGACTGAGGAAGAATTCACATTCAGGTCTTCATGACTCCGAATCCAGAGCTCTATTCACTATGCCATCTAATTGTCCTGGAGGTCAAAGACAAAGCCAGAACATTCATAGCAGCCCTTTTATGGTAGTCAAGAATTGAAAGCAAAATAGATTTCCATCAATTGTGGAATGGCTAAAAAAAATATGGTACATAAATAAAATTGCACTATTCATATAGTGAATACACTATACAACAAATACAAAGAATTCAGAGAAGCAGGGGAAGATTTAGAGGAACAAAGGCAGGTTGAAGCAAATAAAACCAGGAAAACTATATTTGTATATGTGTGTGTGTGTGTGTGTATGTATTTCGTATGTATATGTGTGTATACACATCTACACCAAAATTTTAAATGGAAAGAGCAAAATTAACCCTTCATGCTGATTAATTGTAATGACCAACACTAAACCTGGAGAAGAGTTGAAAAACTGTACCTCCTTTTCTTTACAGAGGTAGAACACTGTGGATGTGGAATATTATATGCACAGATTAGAACAGGCTAATGTTCTATTAGGTTGGTTATGTTAAACTGCTCTTTTCACCTCTTTATTTTTTAATCTTTATTAGAGTGAATGGCTTCCTAAAGAGTGGGACATAGTTGGAAAGGAAGGTGATAAAAGAACAGAGTAATATTAAAAGTGACACAGCGATGTGGTGCAATGGATAGGGTGCCAGGCCTGGAGTAAGGAAGACCTGAGTTCAAATTGGGCCTCAGACACTTACTAGCTCTGTGACCCTGGGGAAGTCACTTAAACTTGTTTGTTTCAGTTTCCTCTTCTGTAAAATGAGCTGGAGAAGGAAATGGCAAGCCACTCCAGTATCTTTGCCAAGAAAACCCCAAAAGGGGTCATGAAGAGTCAGACATGACTGGAAAATGACTAAACAATACTACTAAAAGTAAAAAAAAAAATTAATTAATTTCTTTGTGAATTTTTAAGTGCATATGAGAGTTGTCACAAAAGCAATGAGACTGTTAAAGAGCACAGTAAATCATACTTACTTGTCCCAAAGTACCTTCAAATTCTCCCAAGAAATCATCATCATTCAAATCAATGGTTTTGTTATCAATGTCATAAATCCCAAACTTCAGCCTTTGAACCACTTCAAAATAGTAATCAATTAAAAATTTTTTGGTAAATGAGGGATTCAAACAATTTTTAATCCTTTCTGTACGTTCAACCTGTGGAGAAAATAAGATATTGGGATAGTCACTGGATCATAGACATGTATTTTGGAGTTCAAAAGTTTCAATTTTCACTTTTATTGAACAAACTTGATTAATATTCCTAATGGCTAATGGGAATTTCTGCATCTAGAAAATTTACTTAGTGAATGATTTAAAGAACAGACTAAATGTTTTTGCTTTAATAAAAAAAAAGGGGTGGGGGGATTCATTTTAGATTGGTAGGTCTTTACTATTAAAAACCTCTTTCCATTATCAAAAGTGTGATCAGACCACCCTTCCCTCCAAATGGATTTTTTAATGTTTTACCTCATACCACTGCTGTCCACTGGTACTCAGTAACAATACACATAGAGGGTCTGACTTTGAGCCTATATCTTTATCCAAAAGATTGTCACAGGAGATACTCAGCTCCACCTTCGTCACGCATTGCGCCGCCATTTGTTAAACTAGGAGATGAGGAAAAAATAAAAATGAAAGAAAACATTGAGGAAAAATTTTAATTCTAAAGGGCAATAGTTGGATTATTATTACAATCTATTGTTCTTCAACAAATCATAAGCATAGGACCACCTCATGAGGTTGCCAGATCACTCAGGTATCATAAATGCCATCTGGGAGTTCAATGACACCCAATGAACCCAATGAACCCAATGAAACCCATTTCAATCATATTATTTCACTGAGTCTTTCTGAGATGAAATTTATTTCCCCCTATTATTATAAAACAAATCTTTCAATACATCATAGGAGAGATGTTAATCTAATTACCTTATCATAAATTGGTTAATTTGGAAATTTGGAAAAGTCAAAATATGATCTTACTCACTTGAAAAATGATGATAAATTCACTACAAAATAAAGCATTTCCACAACTCAGTTTTATTTTTAATCTGCCTTAAAGTTGGTACTCCACTTTAGATGGGATTTACATGTCAATCAAAATGACTACTCTGGCCAGCACAAAGACAAATTCCTATTAATAGAACCACTTGTTTAATACCAAACACAAATCAACTTAATTAAAACTAATGTGAAGTATACTAGAAATCAAAAATGTCTAAAGGACATTAAAAATAACTGATAGTTTTACTGATTCTAACACCCAAGGACACACTTATGTATACTAATCTGTTGTGAAAATTTTTCTTCAACGATCAAAGAAAGTCCTGAAACTTTTTCACTTCCTACTTACCCCAACAAAGGACATTCCCCATCCCTCTCCACCATATGAAAGCTTGCTTAGGAAAGGAGCTATTTCTTTTGTATTTTTATATCCCTAGCAACTAGCACAGTGCTTTACACACAGTACGCACTTAATAAATGCATGTTGAAGTGAAATGAATGTTCATGAAAAAAATGGAATCCTAAACTGAAGAGGTCTTAATTTAGTACAATGTACAGCTGATGTATGAATCCCCTCTACCACTGCTTGACAAATGGGCCTTCAACCTCCACATGGAGAGCTCCAGTGATTCATTAATACCAGAATCAACCCATTCCATTTTGGAAAAGTTCTGATTGCCAAAAAAAAGGTTCACTAATACTGAGCTGAAATGTTCCTTCTATAATTCATGCCTGCTAAGCATAGTTCTACCCATCTAGAGCCATGTCTGATCTCTCTGACAGTCTTTCCAATATTTGAACCTAGCAACCACACCTCTACCAAGTCTTCTCTTTCTCAAACTAACATTCTCAGTTTTTTCAGCCATTTTTTCTATGACATAGTTTCTAGTCATTATATGGTTCTGTTCAATTTTCTCTGAGCATGGTCCAGCTTATAAATGTGGTGCCCAAAAGTAGCCTAAACATTCACAGAATTTCGAAGTTAAGGGGCAGCTAGGTGGCAAAGTGGATAGAGCACCAGCCCTGGAGTCAGGAGAACTTGATTTCAAATCCAGTATGAGACACATAACACTCACTAGCTGTGTGACTTTGGGCAAGTCACTTAACCCCAATTGCCCTCACCAAAAAAAAAAAGAAAAGAAAAGAAAGAAAAGAAAAGAAATGCATAGAAGGGGACAGAGAAAGGCCAAAAGGATCAACAAAAAAGCTGCACAGCTTCGAAAGTAATACACTTAATTAACATACATTTTAAAAAAAAATTTCAAGGTTAAAAGGGCACTCAGAGACCAGCTAGTCCAACACTTTCTTGAATAGGAATCCCTACTGCAACTCAGCTGACAAGCAGGCATCCAGCAACGGCTAGAAAACCTCCAGGGAGTGAAATCTGTCCTGACATGATCTGACCAAAGCTGAATATAAAGGGCCCACTACTCCTTAATTTGGAAAACAATGCTTCAATTAATGCAGCCTAACATCCCATTAGAATTTTGACTGCCCCATACAGACTTACAATGAGCTAGAAACTCAGAAAATCATTCAAACTTCTCGTATTTTTTCACAAGTGGTGATCTAGCAACTTCTCCTCACATACCTGTAGAGTTGATGTTTTTTAGCCTAACTGTAGGACTTTTGTTTCATGTTTAATAGCTATCACTCTAACCTTTAGAAATTAAAGTCAGATATTAAATTCTCTAAGATCAATGAAACATTAAGTATTTACTGAGCAATTTTCATTATGCAAGGTGCCTGAGGGAGTTATTTTTGTTGTTTCAGTCATGTCTAACTCTTTGTGATCCCATTTTGGTGTTTTCTTGGCAAAGATACTGCAGTGGTTTACTTCTCCAGGTCATTTTACAGATGAGAGAACTGAGGCAAACAGGGTTAAGTGACTTGCCTAGAGTCACATAGCTAGTAAGTGTCTGAGGTTGGATTTGAACTCATGAAGATGTCTTCCTGATTTCAAGTCTAGTGCTTTATCTATTATGCCACCTAGCTGCCCCTAGGGGTGCTATAAAACAAAGTTAAGACATGGTCTACCCTATGTACAACTTAGCTGAAGCCAAAGATGAATGCAAATGATGAAAAATTAACTGAAGGCTAAATTCTAAATTATTCACTACAAATGCAATGAGTACAAAGAAAAAAAGGTCTAATCAGTGGGGCAGAAGGTACTGATGAGATGTGAGTACCAAATCTAGCAAGATAATGAGATTGCCCAATGATGAGCTTCCTAGAGAAGGAAGGTATAATGGAAAAGTCCAAAGACAAGTCTAAAAGCAGTAGAGCTGGTGGAAAATAAAAAAACAAACTAACAAAAACAGGAGCTGGTATCTCAGAGGTGTTATAACCAAAATAATCATCACCCTACAATTAACTTCAGCATAAGCTTGTTCCAACTTATTTTGGGTAGACCTCAGAAGGCATACATGAAATTTCTTACCAGGCTGACTCTAAAAGCCTTTATTGCTTGCTCAGAGCTGCCAGACTTTGGACTCCTTAAGCATCTCCTCTGACACCTGAGACTCATCTCCATGGGATTTCTCCCTGGGATATCACAGCAGGACATCAATACAGCAACCACTCTCTTTCCCAAAGGAATTAATTGTATCAGAAGTGTTTTCTTCTCCCCCTAACAATGATGATTACAATTCAACCTCGACCCAAATTATTGCTCTCCAATGGATTATGCTCTATGCCTTGCTTATGTTATTTCCTTCATGTAGAATATTCTAGTCTCCCTATTCTAAACAAACTGAGAACAACAAGCTCATACAAGCAGATACACCTAATTACTTGGAAAATTAGCGATGGTCATGATAATGAATCACTACCAGTAAACTAATTTCCTCTGTTAACATCCTTACTTTGTTTTTGTCCAAATAGCTTCAACTCCAGCCAGTCTAGTGCATCTAAATGCCAATTGCAAAAAATTATGCAAGCCCTAAAGCCTTGCATCCACTTAATAGCAACTTATATTTTCCATTTTGTGTAATTACACAAAGTACACAATTTTTACAGTAGCTTCAATTATTATGACCAGAAACCAGAAGGAAAACAATCGATTTTTAGGAATGAAGCCAATAAGCTGAACAGAATTCAGAGGAGAGTAACAGCATTAAAGGAACTAGAGATTCTTGTCCTAAGAACAGAAGACTTGGTGAGGATAAAAACTATCTTCGAGTACTTGGAGGGCTCTCCCAATGAAGATGGATTCAATTTGTTCTACTTGGCTACAGAAAGCAGAGCTAGGAAAAATGAGTAAAAGTTCCAAAGAGGAAAATGTAGTCTGGATGTCAGGAAAACTTCCTAACAATTAGACCCATACAAAAGTGGAATAGGCTGCTTCTGGAGGCAGCAGGCTTGCCCTCATTGGAGTTTACAGGCTAAAGAGGAGATGCTTCTCAATCAGAGGTAATTGATATTACAGATTGAATTCAATAGCAACTGAATAAGTCTCTCTCCAGTTTATCTATCTTGTTATCTCTTTGAGTAATCCCTTGGAGCACGTGGTCTCTCTGAGCTCCTAGAGGGCAGAATTACTTTTGTCTTTGTATCCTCAGAGCTTAATGCAGTTCCTGGTTCATAGTTAAGGAATGCTTGTTGACTTGTTATTAAACACCTTTACCCTGAGGCTGTCTTCTCAGGAAACCATGTGCTGGGTAGAATTTCTCTAGCTTTTCCAGTCCAGCTCAAGACTGGGAAGATCATTGGCCTGAGAGTCAGGAGCCTTTTTCATCTGTGAAAGGTAGTTTGTACTATTTGCAATACTGTTTGCCTCACAGGAAGTTGCAAAGAATGTGCATTGCAAATGGCAAAACTAGATCAAATGGCAGTTAGGTGAAGCACTGCTAAGAGCACAGAAATTGGAATCAGGGACACCCGAGTTCAAATCCAGTCTCAGATGTTTACTAGCTGTTTAACCATAAGCAAGTCAACTCACTCAACCTCAGTTTCCTCATCTGTAAAACAGGGATAATAGTAGTTACTTACCTACCAGGGTTGTTGTGGTGATTAAAATGTATAACATTTTAAAAATATTCAAGTATTACATAAATTGTTACTTATTATTATTAATGATGGTGATGATTATTATCGATATGAATTCATAAGCAGTGAGAGTAGTAGCAGCAGCAATGGTAATCACCACCAGTCCTTCTTGCAATAGCCTGTGATGGATGTACAGAGGGTGCTGGTAACTCCCAAGAAGCTGCTCAGGTCACTGAAGGTACAGAAGGCAAAGTTGTGAACAGATGAAGGGTACAGTTGTAGGTCAGCCATTTCCACATTCCTGAGTAATGGTTTAATATATTCACCATGCACTGTGCCAACCTCACTTATTCTCCAGGTATGATGATAATTTTTCATGGAGCCTGAGGGCTATAATGCCACTTAAAAAAAATTTAGGAGGATGGGGGTGGAGGATAATTACCTGTTACTGAACAATGTCTCCAAGAATGCTGCTCTTTGGTGAATTAAATTAATTGAGGAAGAGACTTATACTGAAAGCAGGCAATAGATTTCTTCCCCTTATATATACATATATATATATATGTATATATGTATCCTTCCTTCTCTTCCTCACATTTATTCCATCAACTGGGAA